AGCTTGCTTCCTCACTTCCTTCAAGTTTTGGTCAGATGATCCCCTCTAGGTGAAGCATTCCCTGACTATTCTAATTAAAACTGTAACCTCCCACAAACTTAACAGTCCCTAGCCCCTCCCTACCCTCTCTATCAAAAGCAACAAAAAAGTTCTATTAAACTAGTGGTTCTCAAACCTTTGTTCTCAGGACACATTTATAGTCCTACAAATCATTGAAGATCTCAGAGAGTTTTCATTTATGTGACTTATATCTACCAACATTTATCATTTTAGAAATAAAAATAGAAATTTTAAATATATTTAATTCATTTAAAAATACTAAACCCACTAAAAACATAGATATTTTCATGAGAGATGGTTATATTTCCTAAAACCGAAAAAAATAGTGAAAAGTGACATGGTATTATAATTTTTACAAATCTCTTTAATGTCTGCTTAATAGAAACTAAGCTGGATTCTCATATCTGCTTCTACATTCAATGTGTTGCAATAGGCTATTCTGGGTGAAGGATGTGAAGAAAATCTAGCTATACAGACACATAGTTGGAGAAGGGAGGAGAACATTAAAAGCTTTTTCATATAACTGAAGACATTCTTCTTTGATATGCACAACAACTCAATGAGTAGTAGTTTCTTCGAAGTTAGTTTACAGTGTGGAATATAAAATCATAAGGGAACTTTTTGTATTGTTAACTTAAAAATCTACTGGCCTACCTATCTTGTACTTTGAAATATTTAAATATGCATGATTTTATAAGATATCACATGGATTAATTTGAAAATATTGGTTAGATGTACAGATCCTCCATATGTGGACATACTACACTACCCAACATTCCCAAATAAAACTGACTGGTATCACCAGCAATCTCATCAGAAAAGTCATCAAATTTGGGGATACCATCAAACTCAGAATGGCAGACATAACTTTCCTGACTTTTCTAATTTTTGCTTTAAAACTTGGATTTTATCATTGACAAATACTGTCAGTTGTTTTCCTCCAAGTGAGGAGCTTGCTTCAATGTGCCAAGTACCCAAATCTGACTCAGTTTGCCACACTGGTTTGCAGCTCAAATCATTACATCAAATGCTTTTCCTAGAGTCGATCTGCACAGTTCAGTATCAACAGATGTGCTTTTATGAGTACCTCCCATTTCATCACATGGAATATTAAAAAGACATATTTTCAAGAATCATGCTTCAATATCATTCATTTTTACTGCCAGATCAAGGACATTTTAAAGTGAAACTGCCACCTTTTTTATTGCAAGTGTTTGATAGTAAATAATAAAATGACTACCAATAGTTTGGTGCCATTGCCTTGATTCACAGCAAGGTGCCAGCAGTTTTACCCACCATTGCTTTTGCACCATGAGTGTCAACATTAACACACTGAAAAAGGTAAACATTGACAAGATGCCAAGTTTATTCATGGGGAAATAATAATATTTTCAAAAAATGGTCCTGAAAAAAAATGGATACCCACATGCAAAAGAATGAAGTCAGACCCCAACCTCACACAATATACACGAGATGTTCTCAGACTTACGATGGTTTGACTTAAGATTTTTCAGCTTTACAGGGAATTTTTGGGGACATAACCCCATAGAAATCTAAGAGCTCCTTGCAACTTAAAAAGGAGGTACAGTTTCTACTGAATGTGTATTGCTTCCACACTATCGTGAAATTGAAAATCCTAAATTGAACCATGGTAAGTCAGGGACCATCTCTTTTGTTGCCAGCATTAAATGCATCTTCAACTTACAGTATTTTCAATTTAAAATGAGTTTTCAAGATGTAATCTCAGCTGGGCGCGGTGGCTCACGCCTGTAATCCCAGCACTTTGGGAGGCCAAGACGGGCGGATCATGAGGTCAGGAGATCGAGACCATCCTGGCTAACAAGGTGAAACCCCATCTCTACAAAAAATACAAAAAATTAGCTGGGCGCAGTGGAGGGTGCCTGTAGTCCCAGCTACTTGGGAGGCTGAGAGGCAGGAGGCAGGAGAATGGCGTGAACCCAGGAGGCGGAGCTTGCAGTGAGTTGAGATCACACCATTGCACTCCAACCTGGGCGAAAGAGCGAGCAAGACTCCGTCTCAAAAAAAAAAAAAAGATGTAATCTCATTGTAAGTTGAGGAGCATCTGCACAAAAAGCTACTGAAAATGGATAAAAAACCTACGGATAAGAACTAAAGCTATCCATCCCTTAAAAAAATTGAAATAAATCTTCATGACTATTATGATTTAAATGTTTGCCCCCCCCAAAACTCACATTGCAACTTAATCACTGAGATGTGGGACATTTGATAGGGGTGAATAGGTCAGGAGTGTACTATCCTTATGAATGAACTAATCCATTCATGGGTTAACGGGTTATCAGGGAGTGGGATTGGTGGCTTTATAAGAGGAGGAAGAAAGACTTGAACTAGCATGCTCACCCCCTGTCCATGTGATGCCCTGTACCACCTCAGGACCTGCAGAATCTCCACTAGCAAGAAGGCTCTCACCAGATAGGGCCCCTTGACCTTGGACTTCTCAGCCTCCATAATTGTAAGAAATAAATTCCTTTTCTGTATATATTACCCAGTTTCAGGTATTGCTATAAGGAACAGAAAACATATCAAGACAATAACCTAATTAGGCAATGGCTTCTTAAATATGGTTCCAAAAGCACAAGTGACAAAAGATTAAAACAAAGATCAATTGAACCATCAAAGTTTAAAAAAACCTGTGCTCCAAAGGACCCATCAGAAAAGTGAAAAGTCAACCCCCCAAATGGCAGAAAATATCTGCAAATCATCTATCTGATAAGGGGCTTGATGCACAATATATGCAAAGACCTCAAACTTAGCAATGGAAAGACAATCCAATCTAAACACGGGCAAAGGATTTGACTACGTATTTCTTCAGAAAAGACACACAAAAGGCCAATAAGCATATAAAAAGATAGTCAACATCATCAGTCACTAGGAAAATGCAAACTACAATGAAATGCCACTTCAGACACACTAGGATGGCTTGCGTTTTAAAAAATGAACAATTACAAGTGTTAGCAAGAATGTAGAGAAATGAGAACCCTCCTGCAATCTGCATCTGTAAAATGGTGCAGCCATTTTCAAAAAGTTTGGTGATTCCTCAGAAACTTAAACAGCAATTCCATTACTAGATATAGATCAAAGAAAACTGAAAACACACATCCACACAAATATTTGGACAGGACCATTCTCAGTAGCATTATTCCTAACAACTAAAAGTGAAAACTACCCAAATTTCATCAACTGTTGAAGGAGAAACACAATGCGATAAATACAAAAATTAGCGGGGCAGGGTAACGTGCACCTCTGGTCCCAGCTACTTAGGAGGCTAAGGTGGGAGGGTGGCTTGACCCTGGGGGACAGAGGTTGCAGTGAGCCGAGATCCTGCCACAGCACTCCAGTCTGGTTAACAGAGCAAGACTCTTGTCAAAAAAATAAATAAATAATAATAACATTTTTTTAAGAAAACACTTATTTTCCCATGGATTATATTAAGTGACAGTGATTTTTCCTTCTTTCTGATTTTTCCATTTCGAATTTTTCTATAAATGGCCATACATTTCTTCTCTGACAGTCAAGAAAAAAAAACACTGGAACAAAATTCTTTTCAAAAAGCCATAAAGTTAGAAGAAAATTTAGAAAAACATTTGAAATATTTTAGGATAAGGTGGACAATCTTAAAAAAGATAGAAACCCAAAAACCATAAAAGGAATGAAGAACACAGTTAGGTACATACATGCTAAAACTGCTATACAGAAAAGACTATCGGCCGGGCGCGGTGGCTCTTGCCTGTTATCCCAGTACTTTGGGAGGCCAAAGTGGGCGAGATCAGGAGATTGAGACCAACCTGGCTAACACGGTGAAACCCCGTCTCTACTAAAAATACAAAAAATTAGCCGGGCGTGGTGGAGGGCGCCTGTAGTACTGGCTACTCGGGAGGCTGAGGCAGGAGAATGGCATGAACCCAGGAGGCAGAGTTTGCAGTGAGCCGAGATTGTGCCACTGTACTCCAGCCTGGGCAACAGAGCGAGACTCTGTCTCAAAAAAAAAAAAAAGAATAGCATATGAATAGACACATGACAGATTTAAAAAAAAAAAAACTGTAACATGGAATATAAATATAAAGCATCCTTAACATAGAAATATGTTCCATATCACTGGTATGGGGAAAAGAAAAATGAAAATTCCTCTTCCATGTACTGTGTTAGGAAAAACAACTGAATGATTATATCCAGAACAAATGAAGAAGATGTGGAGAATGAAAGTTCATAGATTCCAGGTAAGAGAATAAATTCTTTTTTTTTTTTTTTTTTTTTTTTGAGATGGTGAGTCTCGCTCTGTCGCCCAGGCTGGAGTGCAGTGGCCTGATCTCAGCTCAATGCAAGCTCCGCCTCCTGGATTCACGCCATTCTCCCGCCTCAGCCTCCCGGGTAGCTGGGACGACAGGTGCCTGCCACCTCGCCCGGCTAGTTTTTTGTATTTTTTTAGTAGAGACGAGGTTTCTCTCCTGACTTCGTGATCCGCTCGTCTCGGCCTCCCAAAGTGCTGGGATTACAGGCTTGAGCCACCGCGCTCGGCCCGAGAATAAATTCTTATAATATTTTTGTCATGTAAACTTATAGTACCATTAATCTTAAAATCCTCACATCTTTTGATACCAAGATTACTCTTGGTAATCTATCCTTATGAATATAAGAATATATACTGAAAGATGTTTATTGAAACACTTATAAAATTAAAACTATAAAACACTGCTAAGAGAAATTAAAGATGATGTAAATTAATTTTAAGGTATCTATTCTTCCCAAAGTCACCTACAGAACTGACATAATCCCAATCAAAATCCTGGAATGCATTTTGGTAGAAATTCAAACTTTTACAGAAATGCAAAGGAACAGAATGGTCTAAATCGGTTATAAATAAATAAACTGAAAAAGATTAAAGTTTGAGAACTTATGCTTACCTGAGTTTAAGACTAATTATAAAGTTACAGCACTCAGGACACTGTGGTACTGGTGTAGTACTGGTGTGGAAATATAATTCACTGGAACAGATCATAGAATCCAGAATTAAGACCTAGATAAAGTCAATAAAAGATAAAACGATTTCAACCAAGGTGCCAGCAATTCGACAAATGATGCTTTAACAGTTAGATAGCCAAAAGTTTAAAAGAGGGAAAAAAAACTGACCATATGCAAAAATTTATTCTAAATGGAATATAAACCCACATATAAGAACTAAATGTATAAAACTTCTCAGAAAAAAATAGAAAATCGTAGGTAACTTGACTTGGCAAAGATGTCTTAAATAGGACACAAGAAAATTCAAACTACTAAAGAGGGAAAAAAATCAATACATCAGTTTATCAAAATTAAAATATTTTGCTCTTCTAAAGAAACAATAAAAAAACTAAAGGCAAGCCAGAGAGTGAGAAAATACAAAACATATAACCTAGAACCTATCTCTAAAATACATAAAGAACTTTTACAACTCAATAGTAAAAAAAAAAAAAAAAAAATCCAATTTAAAAATAGTTAAAAGATTTAGCAGCCACTTTACCAAAGAGGATTTATGGATGGAAAATTAGCATTTGAAAAAGATGCTTAATACCATTGTCACTAAGAAAATGCAAATTAAATCACACTAAGATAACACTTCACATCTGCTAGAATGGCTGAAATTAAAGGGCAACCATACCAAACATTGGTGAGGGTATAGTGTAACTGGAAAGGTCACAGACTGCAGAAGGAATTGTAAAATGGTACAAACACTTGGAGAACAGTTTGGAAGTTTCTTTAAAAGTTAAATATATACCATATACCTTCCACATGACCCAGGCAATCCACTTCCGAGTATTTACTCAAGATAAATGAAAATATATGTCCATGCAAAAACTTGGAGGAGACTGTTCACAGCAAGTCTACTTGTAACAGCCAAAACCAAAACAACCCAAATGTTTGTCAACACAATAAACAATGGAACCATAGAATAGTCGTACCGCACAAAATGGAAACTATCCAACAATAAAAAGGAATGCTGTAATCCCAGCACTTTGGGAGGCCAAGGCAGGAGGATCACCAGAGGTCGGGAGTTCGAGATCAGCCTGACCAACATGGAGAAACCCCGTCTCTACTAAAAATACAAAAGTAGCCAGATGTGGTGACGCATGCCTGTAATCCCAGTTACTTGGAGGCTGAAGCAGGAGAATCCCTTGAACCCGGGAGATGGAGGCTGCGGTGAGACGAGGTCTCGCCATTGCACTCCAGCCTGGGCAACAAGAGGGAAACTGCGTCTCAAAGAAAGAAAGAAAGAAAGCGCGGTGGCTCAAGCCTGTAATCCCAGCACTTTGGGAGGCCGAGACGGGCGGATCATGAGGTCAGGAGATCGAGACCATCCTGGCTAACACGGTGAAACCCCGTCTCTACTAAAAATGCAAAAAACCAGCCGGGCGAGGTGGCGGGCGCCTGTAGTCCCAGCTACTGGGGAGGCTGAGGCAGGAGAATGGCGCAAACCCGGGAGGCGGAGCTTGCAGTGAGCTGAGATCCAGCCACTGCACTCCAGCCAGCCAGGGCTACAGAGCAAGACTCCATCTCAAAAAAAAAAAAAAAAAAAAGGAATGAAGCACTGATACTCATAAAAACATGGATGATTCTCAAAACAATTATGCTGAAACACAGAGGCAGAATATACAATTTATGAATCCATTTGTATAAAATCCTAGAAAATGCCAATTAATCTACAGTAACAGAAAAATCAATGATTGACTTGGGTAAGAGGAGCGCAGGTTGGAGTGGGACCAAAGGAAACTTTTGAAGGTGATGGATGTGCTTATGATGTCGTTTATAGTGGTTTCATAGAGGATACATGTGTCAAATGTCAAATTGTACAATTCAAATATGTGGTTTGTTATATCTCAGATATACTTCACTAAAGCTATAAGACACACACACGTACACACACATGCACAGGCACACATGCACAAGCTGAATGTTCATTAATGGAGGAAAAGAATAATTCCTAGAGGACCTATTTTAATATTTGTAATTATTAATAAAAAATTTATATTCGCTCTGATCAATAGGTCTTAAGAATCCTGTTCAATTTGGAAGGAGGTCAGAGTAATATAAAAAAGGTATTAAAATGATATCTTACATGTATACATGATTATGTGTTCATATACAAATAGAGGAAAGTGTGACGGGTACATATCAAACAAATAAATCAGGAGATGGAACTGGAAAAAGAGTTCTAGGGGGTAAAAGGATATTCACTTGACCCTCTGTTTTAGCTGACATGCTGTAAAGAGCTTATATTTCTTGTTAATTTCAAAAGATTAGAAAAATTGAATGTATACCAAAGTGGTACAACAATTAAGTGATTCATCAAAGATAAATTTCGTTAGAAAAGCACCTCCATACCTTAACTCTCTTTATGTCTTTTGGTCTACACTAACACTCTCTCTCACACACACACACACACACGCAACAACTCACACACAACTCGGCATTAGGATCTCTCACACTCACACACACACCCTAGCATTAGGATCTCTTCCTAACACAATCCTAGCATATCTCACACACTCACACACACCCTGGCTTAGAATCTAATTCACACACACACCATGGCATTACGATCTCTTTCTCACACATACACTGGCATTAGGATTGTTCTCTCTCACACACACACACCCTAGAATTAGGATTTCTCTCACACACTCACACACAACCTGGCATTGGGATCTCTCCCTCACACACACCTCCTAAAATTAGGATTTATCTCACAGTCACACACACCCTAACGTTAGGATTTCTCACACACACACACACCCCCTGACATTAGGGTCTCTCTCACACACACACGCTGACATTAGGATCTCTCAGTCACACTCACACACCCTGATATTAGGATCTCTCACACTCACATACCCTGGCATTAAGGTCTCCCTCACACACACACACACCCTGGCATTAAGGTCTCCCTCACACACACACACACACACACACTGACATTAGGATTTCTCTCACACACACCCTGGCATTAGGGTCTTTCTCCCACACACATCCTGGCATTAGGGTCTCTCACACACACACCCTGACATTAGGATTTCTCACACTCACACACTCTGATATTAGGATCTCTCAGTCACACTCACACACCCTGACATTAGGGTCTTTTTCTCACACACACACCCTGGCATTAGGATCTCTCAGTTACACTCACACATCCTGACATTAGGATTTCTCACACTCACACACCCTGGCATTAAGGTCTCTCTCACACACACACCCTGACATCAGGATTTCTCTCACAGTCACACACTCCCCGGCATTAGGATCTCTCACACTCACACACACCCTGGCATTAGGATCTCTCACACTCACACACTCCCCGGCATTAGGATTTATCTCACACTCACACACACCCTGGCATTAGGATTTATCTCACACTCACACACACCCTGGCATTAGGATTTATCTCACACTCACACACACCCTGGCATTAGGGTCTCTCACACACACACCCTGACGTTAGGATTTCTCTCACACTCACACACTTCCCGGCATGAGGATCTCTCACACTCACACACCCTGGCATTAGGGTTTCTCACACACACACACGCACCCTCGCATTAGGATCACTCGATCACACTCATATACCCTGGCATTAGGGTCTAACACACACACACACCCTGACAGGATCTCTCACACTCACACACCCTGACATTAGGGTTTCTCTCACACACACACCCTGGCATTAGGATCACTCTGTCACACTCACCCTAGCATTAGGGTCTCTCACTCACACACACACCCCCTGAAATTAGGATCTCTCTGTCACACTAATACACCCTGATATTAGGGTTTCTCTCACATTCACACACCCTGGCATTAGGATCACTGTGTCACACACACCCTGGCATTAGGTTCTCTCTCACACTCACACACAGCTTCACATTAGGATCAGCCATCATTGACCCCATATGCTGGGTGCTCCCCTCTCTGATAACTGCATTTTTCGAGGAAGGGTTCTGCTCCCGGGTGGGAGAGCTGAGTCTGAGCCGCCGCCGCCATTAGAGGTAAGGAGAACAGAAGCAGTCAAGGATCCCACCACAGACTTCAGCTCCCAGCCTGCCCCTGGGAGGCCAAAGCCCCTGTGGGTCAGAGGAGAAAAGTGGGGAAGTACCATAGAAATCAATAGTACCTGGAGCAGGCTAACCATACATAAGCCGAGCTGCAGTTTACCAAAAATCTCTGCGGCGGGTCAGGCCTATCTTCCCGGAGCTGGAAAAATACCGCTAGGGCCCAAGATGGCGGGAAACTCGGGCCCTGTACCCACCCCCTCGTAATCCCGCAGGGGCCCCAGGGAGCATGTGCGGGCTTGAAGGCCGAATGCGGTGGGGGAGGCCTGCAGCTGCGCAAAGCGTCCCGCCTGGCGCTGTCCCTGCCTTCCTGAGGGCGGAGGTTGTGTGCGGCCCGGTAAGGGTAGTGCCCACTGGGAGTTCTTGAAGCTGGCATTAGGCTCCAGGTGGGCAGCCTCACAGCCTTGTCTCTCAGGGACAGGCCATGGAGAGACTCTGGACGGGCTAATGTGGTGGACAGGATGTAGCCTTGTCATATGGGTGTGACACATTGGGGTGGTATCACCCCACTTCCTGGCTGTCCAAGGCTTGGAGATCATGCAGACAGATCTATCTTGCAACTACCAGGATGGAAACTCAGGAGTCCCCAGTGAATTAGTGAAAGGAATGTCTATTTACTGAGCACCAGTTAATCAGATATTTATTTAAGTTATTGCATTTAATTCTATTTGTCTATTTTGGAGACTCTTGAATTGGGTCTGTGGATTCAATGGTATTAAAGTATATAATGTTAATTTCCTGACCCCCGTGGGTATGTTAGGGTTATGTAGGGAAAAGTCCTTGTTTATAGGAAATAGACAAAGTAGTGGGGGTTATTGGGCATAATGCCTGTAGTTTACTTTCAAATGGGGAGGTGACATGTTCTTTCTACTCTTCTTGCAACTGTTCTGTAAATCTGTAATTTTAAAATAAAAACTTTATTTGAAAAATTACA